TTAGCTATGTAATATAAGTAACAAATATTCGTTTTATGTCACCGACGCACAAGCGAAATACTCGAATCGTTAGAGGTAAACATCCATGACTGTCATTGGTTCGTGTAGACGTACGTGCTTTTCAATGGCGCACGGAAATTACGGATTTACCCTTTCTCATCTTGTTCTGATTCGGCGCGTTTGCATATCAACCGTCCGATGATTATAAATCTAGTCAACATGGACAGATATTTGGACACGTGGCTATTCTACAAAACAGTCCTCGCTGGCTTTTTTTATTATCAATATTCGCCCATAATTATTGTAAATATCCACTAAATATCACTAACTTTATAACAAAAGTTACGACAAATCAGGAGTTTATTAAGCAATAACAAAAAATATATAGTATATATCAAAATGTCGACACTACCCCTAGTCAGCCATTAACACTTTTAACACTAAAACACTCTCTTGTCTTCACTCTCACTCACAGAGTACAACAACAACACAAGTCTTGCAAAATGTCATCACTGCGTTTGCGTTTGTACCTACTTCCGCTGTTTCTAATCGCGATTTCTCTCGGAGAAGCCGTAACTGTCACCGACACTGACCTCCCCGCGTTTCGTGAAGCTCCGGCGTTTCGAAACGGCGAAGAATGTCACAAAACGGTTTGGTCACCTTCGGATCGAACACACAACCCTTCAATCATCCACATCGCTATGACACTCGACGCGATTTACCTCCGTGGCTCAGTCGCCGGAGTTTTCTCCGTTCTCCAACACGCTTCTTGCCCTGAAAACGTCGTTTTCCACTTCATCGCAACTCACCGTCGAAGCGCCGATCTCCGCCGCATAATCTCCTCGACTTTCCCTTACCTAACTTTCCAAATTTACCATTTTGACCCTAACCTTGTCCGAAGCAAAATCTCCTCCTCCATTCGCCGTGCTTTAGACCAACCGTTAAACTACGCTCGGATCTACCTCGCCGATCTCCTCCCTACCGCCGTCCACCGCGTAATCTACTTCGATTCCGATCTAGTCGTCGTCGATGACGTCTCGAAGCTATGGAGAATCGATCTCCGTCGTCACGTCGTCGGAGCTCCGGAGTACTGCCACGCTAACTTCACGAATTACTTCACGTCGAGATTCTGGTCGAGCCAAGGTTACAAATCGGCTTTAAAAGGAAGGAAACCGTGTTATTTCAACACCGGAGTGATGGTGATCGATGTCGGAAAATGGAGAGAGAGGAGAGTGACGGTGAAGCTCGAGACATGGATGAGGATACAGAAACGACACCGTATCTACGAGCTTGGTTCGTTGCCGCCGTTTCTGCTGGTTTTCGCCGGAGATGTTGAGCCGGTGGAGCATAGGTGGAACCAGCATGGTCTCGGTGGGGATAATCTAGAGGGGCTTTGTCGGAATCTGCATCCAGGTCCGGTGAGTTTGTTGCATTGGAGTGGGAAAGGGAAGCCATGGTTAAGGCTTGACTCGAGAAGACCGTGTCCGCTGGATTCGCTTTGGGCTCCTTATGATCTGTTTCGTTACTCACCGTTGATCTCTGATAGCTGATTCTTGTATCGGACGGTGGAAGAAACGGTTTTAAAAGCTGTGTGGGGGATTGATTTTTACTAATTACCATTTTACTAGGGGCGTAATAAATCCGTGGGTTAAGCCACGTGGCAGATGATCGAAGAGGTGTGGGTTCGATCAGACGGTGTTTACTTAACGAGAAGGGTTAGCTTATGGAAGTAATGGAACTAACTAGTTTGATTGATGTGTAACGGTCCGGTCCGGAGATACGTATAGATCGATTGAAAATTGTAAAATGTTGTTATGTTTATCAACTGAGAGTTGTTTAATTTATGCAAATGTGAAATTTGTTTGGCCTCTTGATTTATATGTTTAACTTTTTAATTATGTAACTTCAAGTACTTATGCGTTAACTAGTTCAATTCGGATATTCGATTTGCGATTTTTTTCTTTGTAGTCTCCTCTGCTTCAGATTGGTTTATCAATCACGTTTCTGTTCTTATCAATATGAGATTATGTTTGTTAGGCAAGCAGATTTTTACTTTTACAACGATCCCCATTAAACCTGAGTGATTGAGCTATATAATGATTCGGCCATAAATTATAAGCTAGATGTAGTTGGGCCAATTATAGGCTTTGAACAATTTGGGCCAGATTTGTACTTTAAAGTCATGAAAGAAAGGCTAAAGACCCCTTTTAAATACTTTTGTGTTTCTCCAAGAATTCCACTCTTCGTTTTTGCGTTGAGAAGCCCACAATTTCTTTATTTAGTTGTTTTTTTTTATAAAGTTCTTTATTTAGTTGTTGTGTGTTTGTTTAACAAATTTGGCAGATTTGTTTATCTGTTTGTGGTCATAGTATAGGGTTAACGAGCTCAATAACCAAAAAAACATATTAATTTCACAAACTAACCAAAACCCTTAAATCTAAGAGTTGAGAACATAGACCCATTTTGGTTAGTTTGTGAGTTGTAAACTTTCTATGTTTATTGAGCCAATTAACCCTATAGTTTATGCAAAGCTTCTTTTTTTTCTCTCAAAAATTATATCTAAAGCCCATAATCTTTTCGATCAGATCAAAAAAAATTTAGTTTTTGTTTTCTATTGTCATGGTTTCAACTTTGAACTCATTATTTCCCAATGTGTTTCGTAGGTGTTCAGGTGATATATCAATTGAGTTATTAACACTGCCTAATGTTTGCATAATTTCGTATCTTCAACCTGAACCATTTTCCTAGCTAAGGGATGATTCAAATAATCTGTCAAAATTAAGTCTTTGTACTCCAAGTAGAACAAAAGAGAAATTTTTATTAACTGGTGGAGTTTATAATGCTGGATTTTATACACTTTATTCATTGGAAGATTGATATTTTGACGATTTTTATGCATGCATATGAATAATTTATTTTGTCTCATTTATTTTATTATACTCAAAAGTACCTTCTAGCTAAGGATCATTTTCTTAATCATACTAATTGATAATTCGTGCGCTAACCGAAGACCAATTAGTTAGGAGATACTGTATTATAGTAGTCATCACCTAACGCATTATATTCTCTGATTAATGAATAATGGTACACATTCTCACTAAACGAATCTCAACATACATGCCACGTCATGTACAATATACATACAAGAGTCAAACACATATTAATACACACAAATATTTTTAAGTACGTAATAATTCACTAACGTTTAGCAAAAAATAAAATAATTCACTAACGTGGGATAGTTTGTTTGGATAACAAGTACTTTACCAAAACTTACGTACGTACGTAGCGTAACCAACATTTGTAGGACATAAAGAAATCAACTATAGACTATGTAGTCAAATATGTACGTGCATCTTTTTTCTTTTAAGACTCTATACATTAATCAATCAGATCAACCTAGTTTAATATGCACAAGATTACACACGTCTAGAATGAAAATATAGTTG